GAATATGTCGCATAGTTGATTCTAGTCCCATAAAAACATAACATCCATTTCATAATGGAATATGAGTTGCATCCCAAATGACTCCCTATTCCACAAATAGTGCACAGCTTTGGACCAAGGCCTATAGGGCTCTGGTCAAAAGTAGTGCACTACATAGGGAATAGGGTGTCATTTGGGACACATCAATGCTCGGCACGAGCTCAGTATAACAGCTTCTATAATACTCTGTCCTCCTATATCATCACTGTAGACACCGGCATACTTTCTGAATGGGCTCGCTGAGTGTGTGTGTGTGCGTGTATGCTTAGGTCTGTGTGTGTGTGCATGCTTGTGTGTGTGTGCATGCGTGTGTGTGTGTGTTCGTAGACACTTGCTGAATGGGTTTTCCCTGAAGCGTTTGCAGACTTTTGTTATCGTTCAGAGTGTCTGATTAAAACATATGTTTTCCTAGATTGTCGCTCATATTTAGCTTTCATTTGTCTTCTTTCAAAATTCACGTGATTTTACTTGTACTTTTTTTTGTAAGGGTTCACTGTGTGATATAACGTGATATCCATAAACAAAGAACATCAGAGGAGACATACAGATGTAGGATCTTTAAAACTTGTAGTGCATTTGAGGTTTAAAAAGGCTTCTGCAGGTTGTAATTTCCATTTTGAAAATTCAAACTTGATTTTCCCTTACGTAAAAAGTATTAACCCATACAAATATATCCATTAATTATAATCCACATAATAATTCACATTTCCTGTTGCTGCAGGATTATTTTCCTGCTGTAGAAAACTGGCTCCAATTAAGATCCTACATTTCCGCTCTTTTTTAAATCACTTTTAACATTTACTTTTGGCCCCTCTTCTCACTTTACATTGTCTTCCTGTCCTTTTCAGACAAGTTTGTGTGAGTCTCTTCAGTCAGTGTCTTTGTTTTAAATAGAATGTTCAGTCTAAAGTATATAACCAGAAGGATTCTAAAATTACAGTACATAGACAGATTCTATTCATATTGCCTGAGATGGTGCACTGTATATGAAATCCTGGTACTTAATCGACCAACCTGGCTAGCAAAGAGTTAAAAACATACATGAAGGAATGAATTAATTCAAAGTTCTAACTGAAACCGGAAGGGAACCAGTATCTTCTCTTTATTTTGTTCTTTCACTTTACTTCCTCACAACCTCTGCCCCTCTCTCTGCTCCTCTCTCTGCCCCTCTCTCTGCTCCTCTCTCAGCCCCTCTCTCTGCCCCTCTCCCTGCCCCCTCTGCCCTGCTCTCTGCCCCACCCTCTGTGCCCTCTCATCTCTGCCTCTCTCTGCCCCCTCTCTGCCCCTCTCTCTGCCCCACTCTCTGAGAAGGTAAACCCCATCTCTCTGCCCCACTCTCTGCCTCTCTCTGCTCCTCTCTCTGCCCCTCTCTCTCCGCCCTCTCTTGCCCCTCTCCCACTCTCTGCCCCTCTCTCTGCCCCACTCTCTGCCCCTCTCTCTGCTCCTCTCTCTGCCCCTCTCTCTGCCCCTCTCTCTGCCCCTCTCTCTGCCCCTCTCTCTAACCCACTCTCTGCCCCTCTCTCTGCCCCTCTCTCTGCCCCTCTCCCTAAACTCTTTTTCCTCTCTCGCTCCTCCCTCTCGTCCCAGCTCTTTCATTCTCTCTCTAAAGCCCACTCAGTCTCTCCTTCTCTCCCCCCTCATTTTCCCTCTCTCACCCCCTCTCTCTCACTGACCCCCCTCCCTCACTCACTTATTTTCTCTCAGTAGACTAATTCATCCTCAGTAATTAGTCAGCTAGTTAATTGGCTGTCTAACTGGCGAACCAGACAAAAGACAGAGAAGATACACAGCAGAGACACAGCAGAGACACAGCGGAGACACAGCAGAGACACAGCAGAGACACAGCAGAGACACAGCGGAGACACAGCAGGCCAGGACACAGTGGAGACACAGCAGAGACACAGTGGAGACACAGCAGAGACACAGCAGAGACACAGCAGAGACACAACAGGCCTGGACATAGCAGAGACACAGCAGAGACACAGCAGACACACAGCAGAGACACAGCAGAGACACAGCAGAGACACAGCGGAGACACAGCGGAGACACAGCGGAGACACAGCAGAGACACAGCAGACACACAGCAGAGACACAGCGGAGACACAACAGAGACACAGCAGAGACAGAGCAGAGACACAGCGGAGACACAGTGGAGACACAGCGGAGACACAGCAGAGACACAGCAGAGACACAGCAGAGACACAGCAGGCCTGGACACAGCAGAGACACAGCAGAGACACAGCAGAGACACTGCGGAGACACAGCAGAGACACAGCAGAGACACAGTGGAGATACAACAGAGACACAGCAGAGACACAGCAGAGACACAGCGGAGACAGAGCAGGCCAGGGCACAGCAGAGACACAGCAGAGAAACAGTAGAGACACAGCAGATACACAGCAGAGACACAGCAGAGACACAGCAGAGACACAGCAAGCCTGGACACAGCAGAGACACAGCAGAGACAGCAGAGGCACAGCAGAGACACAGCGGAGACACAGCAGGCCTGGACACAGCAGAGACACAGCAGAGACACAGCAGAGGCACAGCAGAGACACAGCAGAGACACAGCAGAGACACAGCGGAGACAAAGCGGAGACACAGCGGAGACACAGCAGAGACACAGCAGAGACACAGCAGAGACACATCAGAGACACAGCGGAGAAACACAGCGGAGATACAGCAGAGACACAGCGGAGACACAGCGGAGACACAGTAGAGACACAGCAGAGACACAGCAGAGACACAGCAGGCCTGGACACAGCAGAGACACAGCAGAGACACAGCAGAGACACAGCAGAGACACAGCAGAGACACAGCAGAGACACAGCAGAGACACAGCGGAGACAAAGCGGAGACACAGCGGAGACACAGCAGAGACACAGCAGAGACACAGCAGAGACACATCAGAGACACAGCGGAGAAACACAGCGGAGATACAGCAGAGACACAGCGGAGACACAGCGGAGACACAGTAGAGACACAGCAGAGACACAGCAGAGACACAGCAGGCCTGGACACAGCAGAGACACAGCGAAGATACAGCAGAGACACAGCAGAGACACAGCAGAGACACAGCAGGCAGGCCTGGACACAGCAGAGACACAGCAGAGACACAGCGGAGACACAGCAGAGTGTCCCCTTCACATTCTATAGACTCTAAACTCACATTGACGCTCTCAAACACACTCTCGCTCTCTCTCTCTCTCTCTCTCTCTCTCTCTCTATCCTGCTCTCTCTCTTAATCTCTCTCTATCTTCTCTCTCACTCTCTCTCTCTCTCATCTCTCTCTTTCTCTCTCTCTATCTCTCTCTCCAACTCTCTACTCTCTCCTCTCTTCTCTTCTCTCTCTCTCTCTTCTGTTGCACAGCACACATGATTAACCTACTCATTTCCCTTCTCCACCATCCCTGCTCGATTCTGTCTGCTCGGGCCTAGTGCCTCCACGCTACGACGTCTCTTTACCTGGCACTTACTAGGCTATGTCTGTCGTCACACCAAGTGTACCATATGACATGCAATCCATCGGGTGTCATACAGTATTCTCGTGCTGAGTAAGTTCTATCTCCTCATGGCTTAACCTCTTCTTCTATTCTACGTGACTCTAGCTACTGTATCACGGTCCTCATCTTTCCCTTTTATCATGAAGACATGTTTTCTCATTGAGCTTCATCCTCTTCTCGTGATTCTCAGTGCATAGCAGTCTATACTAGATACAGTCAATTCATGTTATCTCCTTATTCATTGCTAAGGTCATCCCTACTTTATGCATGTAAAGGGAATTTCATTTCGTCTTAGTATTGTAAGGTAATCCCTGTTCTTTCATGTTCTAGATAATACATAGATGTTTCTTATATTAGATAGTTCAGTTCAAATATTAAAAGTGAACATGCTTTCAATCAACATCTGATTTTTAGATATGTTTGTCTTATTTATATCTGAGGATTTGTTTGGAAGCACTTTGAAGTTTAGGTCTGTTTTCCCTGACCTAGATTAAACCTACTCCTGGAGTTAAAAGCATGCTGAATGCAGAATCTCTAAAAGTGTTCTCTAGTCCAGGAATAGGCTTTGTGTCTGGGAAACCAGCCCTACGGGTTGATGTGAAAAGCTGACGTCCCTAAGATCATCTTATCATACAGTCTGAAGACTGCAACTTGTTCTTTCTTCCATTTAATACACACTAGCAGTTCCACAGTCGGATAGTTGAACTGAAAATGTTTTCCTGGTCTACAGTAACTTTTATTGTAATCTCTGCCATTGCAATTAGAATAAATCGGTGCAATATTTGACATTGACATTTCCCCTTTGTCTTTCTTTGATGTCACACTGTAGACATGGACATTTCACTGTGGTGGTCTATCTATTGTTTTCAGCTCTCTCATATTCTAGGAGAAACACCGACTTGCCTAGAGGGGATGTTAGCTGTACTATAGGAATATAATACATTCTGATATCTAACCTGGAACGTTCCCATCTTTTCTTCCCTAGGTATATTTACATTTTACATTTTAGTCATTTAGCAGACACTCTTATCCAGAGCGACTTACAGTTAGTGAGTGCATACATTTTCATACTGGCCCCCCGTGGGAAACGAACCCACAACCCTGGTGTTGCAAACGCCATGCTCTACCAACTGAGCTACAGAGGGCCATATCTTATGGCAGTTGCATTGACTTAAAAGGTTTATATTTGTATTTATAACTCTCAAAAATAGTTTTGAGTGGTTTGTTATTTTCTATCCAAAGGTTATACACGCCAATAACAAAAATGTAACGTAAATCTTGTTCTAGAATGTCTTCTGTTCCATGCTCTGTAGCGGGAGTAAGATTGGGGGCTGGGGCTCTCTCATCCACAACCAGTGTGGTGTGAAGGCACAAACCATATTCAACCTGACAGTCAACTAAACTAGTTATAGGGAAGGGACCATTATCATGACACATAGGGGCTCTTTTTCACACAAGTTAGTATACGGTCTCTAAATAGGGTTGTGAATAAGGTGTGTGTGATCTTACCTGGAGCCGGTGTGGCCTGGTTCCCAGCAAACTGTATGGGGATACACAGATCATTATCAATAGGAAACTTTTCGCAGGTCAACATCTCCGGCCAGGGGAACCCGTATGTCTCCATAACGGGGGCACAGCTGTCTCTCACGGCTTCACACAGTGAACGACACGGGTAGATGGGCCTGTCCAGACACACAGGGGCGAACAGGGAACACAGGAACACCTGCGTATCCGCGTGGCACCGCTTGGCAAGAAGCGGCACCCAGCTACCTGCCTGCTGTTTGACCTCGGGCATGGTCTCGTGGTCCAGCAGGTTGGGCAGGCGCATCTTCTTGTAGCCCACGTTGTGGCAGAGGCGTAAATCGGCGGGGATGTCCACGCACTGCGGCTCCTTGGTGTAGAAGCGGCCGTTGTGGAAGTTGTCCGATTGCCAGCTGTAGTAGTCGTATTCGTCGGCGGCCGAGGCGGGGGAGGTGAGGAGGAGGAGGAGGAGGAGGAGGGACAGTGAGAGAGATAGTGCCATGGTGGAGAAGGGGTTAGTGAGTAGGGGTCCCCTCCGCTGCTGCCTGCTGTGGCTGTGGTTCTTTTGTCCCTGTGCCATGTTGCTCTGAGCTCTCGGAGGGAGAAAGAAAGGAGGTCCAACGTGACTCAGGGCTTCTGGAGGATAAAGGAAAACTCTTTGTGCTGAAGAAACAAACTAGAATCCTTTTTCCTGTCCAAGAACGAGAGCAGAAGCGGAGACACAAAACAAAAAGAAAGTGTGTATTCCTGTCTTCTTTCAACAGAGAGAAAATGATTGTGTTAGTGTGTGTCCAGTCCTCTTCTCCCCGCGCTGGTAGAGCTGTGTGTCTCTGTCTCACGTGGTCGTAAGAAGGGAGACAAGGGTCGAGGGTAAGACGAGGGGTGAGTGGAGGGTGAGTGCTGTGTGCGCCTCCTTTCCCTCTGTCTAACTCTCTGTCAAACTCTAACTCTATCTCTCTCTTGCTCTCTCCCTGCAGTTCTCTCTATCTCACTCCACAGCTGTCTCTTCCTCTGTCTCTACCTCCACCTCTCTCCTGCTCTCTCTGTGTGTGTGGAGCAGCTACAGTATACCAGCTAGTGGGATAGTTTCTCCCTGTATGCTGTCAGGCCTCCTAGCAGACTGCCTCCCACTGGCCCCACACAGCGCTACCTCAGCCAATCAAAGACCAGGAGGAGGTCCTGAGAGGGGGAAGAGATTCTTCCCCCCCACCTCACCCTCTCTGGTAGACACTCCCTGAGGCAGAGAGAGGCAGGCAGAGAGGGAGAGAGAGAGAGAGAGAGAGAAGAGAGAGAAGAGAGATAGAGAGAGATAGAGAGACGATAGATAGGAGCTAGAGAGAGAAGGAGAGGAGAAAAGATCTTCGATCTCAATCGAGGACGACGATATTGAGAGACATCTAGAGAGAGCGAGAGAGGAGCCTATATAGCGAGAGAGATGATAGAGATCTAGAGGAAGAGGAGATAGAAGAGAGAGAAACCCTCCAACCCCAAAAGGCCTGTGGTGTTGATGGTATTAAAAAAAAATATGTATTCACTAACTGTAAGTCGCTCTGGATAAGAGCGTCTGCTAAATGACTAAAATGTAAATGTAAATGTATTATAAACAAAATGAGAAAATATACAAATTCAATTCCTCTGCAGTATAATCATCTCTGCAGTATAATCTCCAACATTTCTTCAGTGTACTGAGCAAATGTCAATTTGGCTTCTTACCAAAATACCGTACGACAGACCACGTATACACCATGCCCACCCTTATTGACAAATAAATAAAACAAAACAAAAGCAAAGTTTTCTCATGCTTTGTTTAAAAAATATTTTGACTCAATTTGGCATGAAGGTCTGCTATACAAATTGATGGAAAGCAGAATTGGGAGAAAAACATATTACATTGTAAAAGCAATACACACAAAAAACAAATGTGCAGTTCAAATTGGCAATACACACACAGATTTCTTTCCTCAGGGCCGCAGGGTGAGACCCACGCTCTTCAACATTTATATCAATGAATTGGCAAGGTCACCAAAACAGTCTGGAGCACCCGTCCTCACCCTACTGGACTCGGAAATGAAATGTCTACTGTTTTATTATTATTATTATTATTATTATTATTGTTATTATATATTAATTTTTTTACACATATACACACATACACACACACACACACATACCCACATACATACATACATACATACATACATACATATATATATACATACATATCCTTAAAAAAAAATATATATATATTCCCCTTTATTACTTTCCAACCCCGCCACCCTTTCCCTACTTGGAGTAAACTAGTGAACAACAATGCTTACTGTACAAATGTCTACTGTTTGCTGATGATCTGGTGCTGTCCTCAACCAAAGAGGGCCTGCAGCAGCACATAGATCTTCTGCACAGATTCTGTCAGACTTGGGCCCTAACAGTAAATCTCAGTAAGACAAAAATAATGGTGTTCCAAAAAAGGTCCAGTTGCCAGGACAAAAAATACAAATTCTATCTCAACTCTGTTGCCCTAGAGCACACAAATAATTATACCTACTTCGGTCTAAACATCAACACCACAGGTAACTTCCACAAGACTGTGAACGATCTAAGAGACAAGGCAAGAAGGGCCTTCTATGCCATCAAAAGGAACATAAAACTGGACATCCCAATTAGGATCTGGCAAAAAATACCTCAATCAGTTATAGAACCCATTGCCCTCTATGGTTGTCAGGCCTGGAGTCAACTCACCAATCAAGAATTCACAAAATGGGACAAACACCCAATTGAGACTCTGCATGCAGAATTCAACAAAAATATACTTTGTGTCCAACGCAAACCCCAAACAATGCATGCAGAGCAGAATTAGGACAATACCCGCTAGTTATCAAAATCCAGAAAAGAGCTGTTAAATTCTACAACCATCTAAAAGGAAGTGATATCCACACATTGCAACACAAAGTCCTCACCTACAGAGAGTTGAACATAGAGAAGAGTCCCCTCAGCCAGCTGGTTCAGGGGTTCTGTTCACAAACACCAACAGACCCCACAGAGCCCCAGGACAGCAACACAATTAGACCCAAACCACATCATGAGAAAACAGAAAGATAACTATATGGCACAATGGAAAGACTCAACCAAAAAACAGAGCAAATTGGAATGCTATCTGGCCCTTAACAGAGAGGACACAGTGGCAGAATACCTGATCACATTGACTGACTCAAAATTAAGACTACGTACCAGTGATGTAAAGTACTTAAGTAAAAATACTTTAAAGTACTACTTAAGTAGTTTTTTGTAGTATCTGTACTTTACTTTACTATTTCTATTTTTGACAACTTTTACTTTTACTTCACTACATTTCTAAAGAAAATATTGTACTTTTTACTTCATACATTTTACCTGACACCCAAAAGGACTTCTGAATGCTTAGCAAGACAGGAAAATGGTCAAATTCATGCACTTATCAAGACAACAAATGGTCATCCCTTCTGCCTCTGATCTGGCAGACTCACTAAACACAAATGCATCTTTTGTAAATGATGTCTGAGTGTTGGAGTGTGTCCCTGGCTATCCATAAATGTTTAAAACAAGAAAATGGTGCAGCCTGCTTCGCTTCATAGAAGGAATTTGAAATGATTTATACTTTTACTTTTACTTTTGATACTTCAGCATATTTTAGCAATTACATTTACTTTTGATACTTAAGTATATTTAGAACCAAATACTTTTAGACTTTTACTCAAGTAGTATTTTACTGGGTGACTTTTACTTTTACTTGAGTAACTTTCTAATAAGGTATCTATACTTTTACTCAAGTATGACAATTGGGAACTTTTTCCACCACTGCTATGTACAGACTCAGTAAGCATAGACTTGCTATTGAGAGAGGTCGACATAGGCAGACCTGGATTTCAAGAGAAGACTAGATATGTGCCCTCTGTCCACAAAATGAAGTGCAAACTGAGCTGCACTTCCTAACCTTCTGCCAAATGTATGACCACATTAGTGATACATCTTTACCACAGATCACACAGACAAAGAATTTGAAAACAAATCTAACATTGATAAACTCCCTTATCTGTTAGGCGAAATACCTCAATGTTCAATCACAGCAGCAAGATTTGTGGCCCGTTGCCATGAGAAAAGGGCAACCAGTTGAGCACAAACAACATTGTAAATACCACCAATATTTATCTGTTAATTTATCTTCCCCCACTATTCGTACTACAACTATTTGCACATTGCTAAAACACTGATAGCTGATAATATAAAACTCTCTCTCGTTCTCTCTCTCTCTCTCTCTCTCTCTCTCTCTCTCTCTCTCTCTCTCTCTCTCTCTCTCTCTCTCTCTCTCTCTCTAACACACACACACACACACACACACCACAGGAGGCTGTTGAGGAGAGGACGGCTTATAATAATGGCTGTAACGGAGCGAATGGAATGGTATAAAAAATGATGTCTTTGATACAATACCACTTATTCCGCTCCAGCCATTACCACGAGCCTGTCTTCTCCAAGTAAGGTGCCACCAACTCAATGTAGCGCACAAACCTTTCACTGCCACCACACTCTCTCTCTGTGTGTGTGTGTGTGTCTGTGTGTATGGGTCCTGTGATTGAGTCAGGCAGGCTACAACAGCTACAGGTGGCTAGGTCGTTTGGTTACCCTCTGTGAGATATGCTAATGTCTATGGTGGTGTTGAATAGAGGCTCGCTGCCTGTCTGTCTCTTTCCATCAGTAACACTGACACACAGAGGGGCCCAGCCATAGCATCAAAATGAATCAAATTCTCATTCAACGCTCATCCAATCGCATTCAAAGCACTCCGACTTAGTGAGTGGACTGGTGGCCACATCCATTCACATGGATGTATCACATGGACGTATCATATGGATGTATCACATGGACGTATCATATGGATGTATCACATGGATATATCATATGGATGTATCACATGGATGTATCATATGGATGTATCACATATGTATCATATGGATGTATCACATGGATGTATCATATGGATGTATCACATGGATGTATCATATGGATGTATCATATGGATGTATCATATGGATGTATCATATGGATGTATCATATGGATGTATCATATGGATGTATCATATGGATTTATCACATGGATGTATCATATGGATGTATCATATGGATGTATCATATGGATGTATCATATGGATTTATCACATGGATGTATCATATGGATGTATCATATGGATGTATCATATGGATGTATCATATGGATGTATCATATGGATGTATCATATGGATGTATCATATGCTCACAATTAGGTGTTTTCTCAGTGTTCTAAACATGCAACAGATTTTGTTGTGTCACCATATTGGGTGGACAAAGAAAGTACTAATAGATTTAAGAGCTATTTCCCCTCTAATTAGGGGGGTCAAACACACACATCACTCAGCCCAGTGACCATGCAGCTTTGCTGAAACCTCCTCACTGCTGGAACCTATGGACGTACGTCACTGTCCAGACATTCACATCAATACCACAAGATAGCAGGGTTAGAGATTGGGTATTTGTCAATTGCTTTTCTTGACTTATTCATTTTAGCTTCTAATCGAGCATAAGGCCCTCAATCAGACACAATTATTTGTGGATTTGTGTTTGTATGTTTTTTGTCATGCTAAAGCAGGTGGAAACATTATAATTAGGATTAGCATTTCATAGCATTTTTCTGGTATGACTTCCAGTACCACTATGAACAAATCTAAATTTCTCCCATTTCAGGGAGAGATTAAACAAGAATCCATGTGATCATGTGATGGTCATATCAATATGTGATGATCACAGGGGAAATTGACTAAGACTACTGTCACCCTCTGCACTGTTCTCTCCCCACAGACCACAAACTATTGGTCTACAACGATCAATCTAGATGTTTTTTTCCCCCTTTATTTTAGCAGGGAGTCGCATTGAGACCAAGGCCTCTTTTCCAAGGGAGCCCTGCGTGGACACAATTTATAAAAATGTACAACATTCAAACATACAATACTACAAGCAATTTAAGAAGCAAACACATTCATCAACAATGAGCTCCTTCATTAACAACTTGAACTGAACTGGAGGCACCAGAGCATCAGGGTGCAGAGAGCTCTGCAGATCATTCCATGTACGGGGCGCAAAAAAAATAAATGAATGCAGATTTACCTAATTCTGTAGAGATCAACTGGACCTCTAGAGTTAACCATCCATGTGATTGGGTCTGGTGACTCGTATGTCTGTAATTGAACAATAAAGTAAGGTATGGTGGAAGTTTGCACAAGAGGTCTTTACAAACAAAAAGAGAGCAGTGCATTGATCTACGAGATTTAAGAGAGGGCCAGACTACTTTCTGATACAGAATGCAGTGATGTGTACTGAACCTATTGCCCGTAATAAAGCATAGTGCGCTATGATAAACTGCATCCAATGGCTTCAATACAGTGGCAGCTGCATTCATATAGACGATATCACCATAGTCTAAAGCTGGAATGAATGTCGAATGATTTGTTTTCTGCTATTTAACTATTGTGAAGTAAAACTGATAAGACAATAATAGATTGGCAGATATTGATAAAGTGTTATATTATATCAACAATTGTATCAACCCTGTATGATTGTTGATGTATGACAGATGTTATAATATAGCATTATTATTGTGGTAGTAGATTGTTAGACTGTAAGTGTCTGGACGGCACTGACTTGATGCAATGAATTAGCTCATGATTATGTCATAGTATTGAGGTAAAATTATGTCCAATGTTTATCACACTCCATCAAGTAAGAGGTGAGAGTATGGACCTTTTTTTGTTAATATCTACAGTTTATTATTGGCTCTCCAGGGATTATATCACATAACACTCCTCTGCCAATAATGTTTATTGTAGAATATAGAGTTGAGCCAGTTACAGCTTCCGCCCTTATCTGTCAAAGCCCTAGTTAAAGTTCCTGTTGAGACATTGCAGAATGATATAACGTGAAAACAGAATCTCTGCCAGCAGAGTCAACAGTCACTCAGCTCTATGAGGAGCACAGGAGGTTGGTGGCACCTTAATTGGGGAGGATGTGCTCGTGGTAATGGTATCAATACTGTACATCAAACACATTCCATAGTATTTATCTGTACCTGTCTGATTCAATCTTGTCGTGAATTATTTTGGACCCGAACCTCCCTGATCAGTGGAACTCAATTTAGCTCCCAAAGCTACCTTTACAAAAAATCATGTGAAAAGAACAAGTGAAAAAACACATGTGAACAAATCACACAAATCACAAAAATCACGTGAAATGTTAGACACGGGATTTTAGGACCCGTGACGTTTCACATGAATGTTTCACATGTGAACAAATCACATTTGAAAAATGTCACGTGAGGGAAAATGTTGGTTTCCCCAACATTTCACATGTGATATTATACATTTCACATGTGATAATATACATTTTATGTGTGCTTTTGTAAGTGGTGGGATTAGAACCCAGGTCTCCCACAGGAGAAGCCAACGTCGTAGTCCTTTCCTGCAGTCAAATGACCTATTGGCCTCATGGATAAATGTTAATAACCTCTTAATATTATCATAATTACATCATTAATAAACATTTAAAAATTAAAAAACGCTGAAAATCAGTTTTTTCCATGTCAAACGGTTTTGTTATATTTCAGTCTTCTGTGATGTATATAAAGTGTCATATTGGGATGAAAACACAAAATGTAATACATTTAAACTCTATATCTGACATGGTACATAACCATGTGTGTGAGGTTTCAAAGTAGATTTGTTTAAGACTACCACGAAACACTCTGTGTGACCCTGATTTAGCCCACTGCAGTAAAAGGTTAACTATTAGACCAAGCGGGCCAAAACTAATTTTTAAGTCGCAGGCGGGGCTACCTCATCATGTGACCATGAGCAACCATGACTGACTCATGTCCGCTACACTTTCACATGTGCATTTTAGCATTTTAATGTCAACCAGGGCTGTCAAACGATTCAAACATTCACATGTGAAACTGCAAATTTGACGTGTTTGTTTTGTAAGGGTATTGCCTAGGCTTTAGCTCAGAGGGATAATGAAGTCTTGAGTTAAACAGAGGACCTTGGTGGTTCTAGTTGCTCTACTCTCCTCTTCCACCCCTTCATTCCTCTCTCTCTCCTCTTCCACCCCTTCATTCCTCCCTCTCTCCTCTTCCACACCTTCATTCCTCCCTCTCTCCTCTTCCACCCCTTCATTCCTCCCTCTCTCCTCTTCCACCCTTTCATTCCTCCCTCTCTCCTCTTCCACCCTTCATTCCTCCCTCTCTCCTCTTCCAACCCTTCATTCCTCTCTCTCTCCTCTTCCACACCTTCATTCCTCCTTATCTCCACACCCACCCCTTCATTCCTCCCTCCGTCCCTTCACTCCTCTGTTCAGATTGGCTCATTTTACTGACTGAGAGAGGCCTCCAGATCTTTGAAACAGAGCTAATCAATATTAGGAGCCAATATTGGAGCTAATGATCAGGGGACTTTAGTCTCTACTGATAAGGTATGTAGATGGTGTCAGAAAACACAAACTTAGACATGCTGGCATGTACTCTCACACACTCATGAACACACACACACACACACACACACACACACACATACGGTAAACAAGAAAAATGCCAATGTGTTAGAGCAGTCCTGATACAGGTAACTGCCAAAATAAAGGAAACACCAACATCAAGTGTCTTAATAGGGTGTTGGGCCCCCAGGCCTCGGAACAGCTTCAACGAGACTTGGCATAGATTCTACAAGTGTCTGGAACTCTATTGGAGGGATGCAACACCATTCTTCCACGAGAAATTACATAATTTGGTGTTTTGTTGATGGTGGTGGAAAATGTTGTCTCAGGCGCCGCTCCAGAATCTACCAAAAGTGTTCAATTGGGTTGTGAACTGGTAACTGAGACAGCCATGGCATATGGTTTACATAAACTATATATACAAAAGTATGTGGACATCCCTTCAAATTACTGGATTCGGCTATTTCAGCCACACCCGTTGCTGACAAGTGTATAAAATTGAGCACACAGCCATGCAATCTCCATAGACAAACATTGGATGGCCTTACTGAAGAGCTCAGTGACCTTCAATGTGGCACCGTCATAGGATGCCAAATTTCTGCCCTGCTAGAGCTGCCTCGGTCAACTGTAAGTGCTGTTATTGTGAAGTGGAAACGTCTAGGAGCAACAACGGCTCAACCACAAAGTGGTAGGCCACACAAGCTCACAGAACGGGACCGCCAAGTGCTGAAGTGTGCAGCACTTAAAAATCATCTGTCCTTGGTTGCAACACTCACTACCGAGTTCCAAACTGCCTCTGGAAGCAACGTCAGCACAAGAACTGTTCGTCGGAAGCTTCATGAAATGGATATCCATGGCCGAGCAGCCGCACACAAGCCATGCGCAATGCCAAGTGTCGGCTGGAGTGGTGTAAAGCTCGCCGCTACTTGACTCTGGAGAAGTGGAAACGCGTTCTCTGGAGTGATGAATCACGCTTCACCATCTGGCAGTCCGATGGACGAATCTGGGTTTGGCGGATGCCAGGAGAACGCTACCTGCCCCAATGCATAGTGTCATCTGTACAGTTTGGTGGAGGAGGAATAATGGTCTGGGGCTGTTTTTCCATGGTTCAGGCCCCTTAGTTCCAGTGAACGGAGGTCTTAACGCTACAGCATACAATGACATTCTAGATAATTCTGTGCTTCCAACTTTGTGGCAACAGTTTGGGGAAGGCCTTTTCCTGTTTCAGCATGACAATGCTCCCATGCACAAAGCGAGGTCCATACTGAAATGGTTTGTCGAGATCGGTGTGGAAGAACTTGACTG